AAAAAAAAAAAAAAAAAAAAAAAATGATAATTGACAATGCATCTCTTAAAAAAGAAAGGGAAACACCATGAAAACAAAATACTCATTAGTTTTCATTATTTTGGGTAAGTGAAAATACGTATTTGGTGCAAATGAAAGTCATGTCCTCCCTCTTTGGTTTAAATTCGCTGTGATTTTGCCCTCAGTGGTCCTATCAATTTCAGCTCATTAATAAATAAATAAATAAAAGAATATAACTAAATTTTATGTTCATTCCATTTTCAAGCTCTCTTCTTTTATTTTTTTCATTAACATATGATAATTATATATTTGATTAATATGTATGCATTATTTCGAACTTTATTGTTATGGTATATGAAAATTTATCAAATAATTTATCCATTAATTAACACTTAACATTGTGGTTTCACTAAATCATTTTTGCTCTATCCTAAAATAAATAGTGTGTCAGTGCAATGCACAAAATAAAGATATTAAATGAGTCATTTTCATAGAATATGTCCATTTAGACCTATAAAATACTAATGTTGTTATACGTCACTTTTGGTCACGATCGGTTGAACACCTTCCATTAGTGAGATACCACTTTGGGAGCGCTACAACTCTAACCTTGTGGCGGGACCGAGGGACAATATCAGGTAGACAGTTTCTATGGGGCATATTTCTTGAATATCATTAAAAAAAATCGAATTGACCAGCATTCGACCAATTAGAAATCCCAGGGTACTACTTTTTACAAGTCAATGAATCTTTATGCCCAAAACTCTGATTCAAGCAGTCATTTATTTGCTATCTCCCACTGAGCATGAAATGTCATTATAACCCTTATTGGGTGATTCCATCCACAGACATAAAGTTTATGGTTGACTGATATGGATCATCATCATTTACCCCCAAGTCCAACTCATTTGGACCTTTTAGAGGTTCTAACCAATGAGCACGCAAATCCAAAAAACGCATAATATCTCCAAAAAAATGACTTCTCTTGTGGTGGTCATGCATTAGATATTTACCCAAACTAATAGATCTTTGAGTGGATCATACATTAGCCCCCAACAATACCAATAAGGGGTTGACAGTCTTTCGAGCTAGGTGGGGACTATTATTCCCTAGATTCGTCGGCCACGCCCGGCTAGCAGACTACGGATAGGCCTACCTCGTCGGCTGCATTTTTACAAGTAGTCTCAAGATCACCCTCTTTTAAATTTTAATACATGTAAAATTACAAAAAATATATAGTCACCACAATTTCAAATTTGTGTGCAATTATCATCATTATTATAAAATTATTTCTGAAATATCCCTAAATATATCCACATATTTGGCCACCAACTCCTTTGAGGAATCACATTCAAATTTCAATTATAAAAATTATAATATTGCAATTTAAAGGGTCCATTTATTATTCATCAATAAAACAAATAAAGTATATCACTTTCAAATTGCAAATACAGCTGTTTCATGGAATATATATATTAAAAAAAAAAGGAAAAAACTTTATTATTAGTTATCTAAAATACTTGAACATATTCAAAACACGTGAAAAACAATCGAAACTGCCCATAACTGGTTTTATTTTCACCACACATTTTCTGTCCCCTTAAATTTGGAAAAAGATAGAAAAGGGAAAATAGGTAAAAGATTGGTAATTTAATTTAAATAAGCATAATTTAAAGGACCCAAAAGATAATATATATATATATAATATATATATATATACAGAGTGCACGGCACCATAGTTGCAGAGATCTTTTATTTCGAAAGGAAGAAGAAAGCAACTATTCGCAGTTTCTATCTTCGTCGACCATTGCAGATTCGCCATAGGATAAAATTTTACTCCTTGAGGTGAACAGTTTCTTGGGTCATTTTCTTTTCGAAAAGATATTGATATACGCTCTTATTCACCACGTGTTTCTCAAAATTGCGTTCTTTTGAAACTACACTGGCAATTTCCTGTTAATGATTGGTGACCCGTTCTGGGTTTTGTTGCGAGCCCATTAATGTATTTTTACTTGGGTTTGTGGAAGTCCTTGAGATTTGTAGTTATGTAGAATTCCGAGGTGTTTTCATGGTGTGCTCTGTTTCTATCGGAGTAGAGACTTTCCGGCGGCTCGTGTTTCTTGAAACTCACAAATGGGGGTGGTCGTATGTTGTTATTTAGCCGCCTCTTGTTTTTTGGGATTTTGTGAAATTTTAGTTAATGGGCTTGGACGAATTTGATTAGGTTATTTTTGGTACTCTAACTGTGAAGAGATCTAGTTTTTTGTTGTTATTGCCCCTGTTTTCTTGATGTTTGTTAGTGCTCTTTTGAAACCCTTAAGTGTATTCAATGCTCGAAACCATTCATGTCGTTTTGATATTATTTGTAGCTAAAAAGGTTCAGTTCTTGATTCCAATTTTAGTTGTATTTTGGTGTTGCTGGATAGCGTAGCAGCTACCATCACCAGATTCTTGAGTTTGTTTGCTGTTATTGAGAGATGTTCCTTTCTTTCTCCCTTTGTAACTTCTACTATTTACACAACTCAATTACTTCTGGTTTTGATTAAACTACATATTTTCCTCCCATCTTTCTATTTGTTTTCGTTTTCATTCATTATATGCTCTTGCTGTTCGCCTTTTCCGGTTGAACCGACTTTATATTACTATTTTTGCTCAATTTTTTTTTTTTTTTGTTTCCTCCTTTTCATATTATAGAATGGGAAGCACAAGTGAGACAATCTACGGGGCCTACACATACGAGAACCTCGAGCGGGAGCCTTACTGGCCATCTCAAAAGCTCAGGATCTCCATCACGGGTGCTGGTGGCTTTATTGCCTCACACATTGCCAGGCGTTTGAAGAGCGAAGGCCACTACATAATCGCGTCCGACTGGAAGAAGAACGAGCACATGACTGAGGATATGTTCTGTCATGAATTCCACCTTGTGGACCTGAGGGTTATGGATAACTGCCTGAAAGTGACTGAAGGTGTGGATCACGTTTTCAATCTGGCAGCAGACATGGGTGGCATGGGCTTCATCCAGTCGAACCACTCAGTCATCATGTATAACAATACAATGATCAGCTTTAACATGATTGAGGCTGCCAGGATTAATGGCGTTAAGAGGTGTTGTTTTCTGTTTGGATCTTTTGTCGTCTTTTTCGGTTTTTTTGTGTGTGTGTATGTGCATTTAATAGACATATATAAAGTTTGTGCTTGTTTTGTTTGTTGGCTTGGATATGCTTTTTTGTTTTTTTGTCTTTAATGGGCGATTGGTCTTTCTGAAAGTTAAAATTTGATTTTTGAAATTAATTATTTGTTGATTAAGTTAGTGTGGATTATAATGCACGTTTACTTTGTGTGTAGGTTTTTCTATGCCTCCAGTGCTTGTATCTATCCTGAATTTAAGCAGTTGGAAACTAATGTGAGCTTGAAAGAATCTGATGCGTGGCCTGCTGAGGTTTCTATCTATTCCCTTCACAGTTTAAATATTAATTTATTTATTTTTATGTTTATAACATTCTTCGATAAGTTCAGCCCCAGTTTCTTATAATTTCAAGAAACAAATACTTAGATGTGTGAAATAAAGAACTTGTTTCGCATTTTAGCCTCAAGATGCTTACGGGCTGGAAAAGCTTGCAACTGAGGAGCTATGCAAGCACTACAACAAGGATTTTGGAATTGAGTGCCGCATAGGAAGGTTCCATAACATTTATGGTCCTTTTGGGACCTGGAAAGGTAAAAGCGAAAGATTGGTTCGAATATTTATTCTTTACTTAACTAAACATGTTTCCCCCTTTAAATTCGCCAACTTCATTGATTGTGGCAGGTGGGAGGGAGAAAGCACCAGCTGCCTTCTGTAGGAAGGCACTTACTTCGACTGATAAGTTTGAGATGTGGGGAGATGGTCTCCAGACTCGATCTTTTACTTTTATCGACGAATGTGTTGAAGGTGTTCTCAGGTACATTTTACCTTAATTCATTATATTCGTATGTTGTTATAAGTGCAAATCCCGTTGTATGGTGGCAAATCAATGAACCCTTCATGTAACTAAACCAAATTTTTGGTTACATTTGTAATTAACACTCTGTTTTGAACCCTTCATGTAAATATTTACCCTTCACATTGTTTTGCAGATTGACTAAATCTGACTTTCGGGAGCCCGTGAACATCGGAAGTGATGAGATGGTTAGCATGAACGAAATGGCGGAGATTGTGCTTAGCTTCGAGAACAAAAAACTGCCAATTCAGCACATCCCAGGGCCCGAAGGCGTGCGTGGTCGAAATTCGGACAACACTTTGATCAAAGAGAAGCTTGGGTGGGCCCCATCCATGAAACTGAAGGTAACCGAAGTTTGTTGACTGACATATCACAATATTACGTCCCATAACTGTCGGATGTTGGAATTTTGTGTCATTAGCCTGTGTTGATGTAGTAATTCCAGTCATTGACGATTTTCTCTTCGTTCGAAATATATACACCAAGTCCTTGCATTCTTGAATATTTGCGCATTTTAAGAGCATCTCAGATAAAGTATACCATAAAATTCAAACTAATGTGACTAGTGTGTGGCATGATGCTAATTTCCATGTATTTATTATTACAGGATGGGCTGAGGATCACATATTTCTGGATCAAAGAACAGCTCGAGAAGGAGATTACTGAGGGAGTCGATTTGTCTGCTTATGGATCGTCAAAAGTTGTCGGGACGCAAGCTCCTGTTCAACTGGGTTCTCTCAGAGCTGCCGATGGCAAAGAGTGAAGAATATACCAACAGTAGGCTCGTCTCGTTTATATGCTCGTATCATGCTACTGAGGGAGGAAAATATCTGGTTTGTTTTGGGTCCTTGAGTATTATTCGTAATTTTTGAACGTGATTCTATTTTTACAGTTCGATCGTGATTATTATCGTTATGCGTTTGTATGCCTTGCTAACACCTCAGAGTCCTACATATGTTCTGGCTAAATATGAGAGGTGGCTGGCTACTCAATGTTCAGTTCTTTGTTTTTACTATATCTCAATTTGCACTTGTTTGTGACACCCTTTGTGAAATAGAAGCAAATGTGAGGATTATCTGCAACTTTAAATGATAGATGGATCTTTTATTTGTACTATAATTTATTGTTACCACTTTTCTGGAGGTGAAATTTCAAGGGGAAAATTGAGCTACTGCTAATGCTCGAGTCTGAACCGTCGGATGTATGTTGATCCAACGAACACTAGCCCATACGAGTAGGGTCGAGCACTCCAATTTATAGATATAGTTGCAGTCTGGTAGAGATTATGTCACAATCTGTTTATTGCCAACTTTAGGAAATTGGTCCCAGGATAGAACCAACTTTAGAGCCATTCAATTCTGATAAGGCCCAATTTATAAGGCCATACAGGTCCAGGTAACACCCTAATTATAAGGCTATGCATTTAAGCCATGGGCTTGCATATTGAATTAAGCCTTGTCGTGTCGTGATTGTAAAACTTACTCATAATCACCCATGGTTTAGGATATGCGGACGCCTTAGTTTTGTTATCTAATTTACTTTTCCTTAAAAATCCTTACTTGAAGTTGTATGATTGATCGCGATACGAAGTGTTACTGTATTAAGACCATCTCCAGCCCTTCGCTCTACCCTAGAGTAGAATTTACTCTACTCTAGAGTAGAGTAAGCCAAATTTCAAGTTTCATCTCTAGTCCTTCGCGCTACAATTTTACTCTACATCAAGTATATTAATTTTTTATTCATTTTTATTTCAAATAAAATTGGTATATATATGTATATTTAATCTTATATGAATTCTTATTACCCAAATAATAAAAACATGTTTATGTATAACAACACGAAACTGCTCCATAAGTTGAAACAATAGGAATACACAAAATATCTGTTAAATTTTTATTCATATGCTATCATTTTAATATTAAAAAATTACAAAATAAAATTATAATACATATATAAATACAAAACACAAAATTATTTAGCATAAAAAATACATTTCACACAGTTATTTAGCATAAAAATATATTTACTAATACACATTGTGTAAAAATTTATCATTGATATTACATTAAAATACAAAAAAAAAAAAA